TGGTACTTTACATGATTCCGCTATCATTGATAGCCTCTGACCCACAATTTCAAGCCCACCCCCTCGGGCATAAGCTGATGTAGGATCGTCTATTCCAGTAATGCGGATGTCTGGAGGCCCACCAGGCCGAGCAGCAAGAGCGTGGATCAGAGTGATCCACTGGCTGCCCTGAGCAATCTGAAAATCAATTATATGTATCTTATTTTCATCTTTCATTGCATCTGCAATGGCCCCGTTTGCCGACAAATATCCAAATTTGAAATAAGGACAGATTTCATAGAGAAAGTGCATGTAAGACAGGAGCTCATTACTGGTGGGCTCTTTACACCTTAGCGCTTTATAGATGGAGCTTCCCGACGAGGATAATCTTGCAACCAACCCCTCCAGCATGTAGGCTGCTAACCGCTGCTGTGGTTCTCCAGAAACTGAAACCATTGAGCGTAATTCAGACATCAACCACTCACAGGTCAATAAATCATTATCTGAAACTGCTTTTGCACAGGCAGCCATAATCTCTTTTAAGTTCCTTCTCTGGATCATCTCTACCGCTTGCTGGGACAACTGTGCCTCCAGTGAATTTTGATTAACTGCACCTGAAATGGTATTTTGTGCATCCAAGATTTGAGTTTCAGGCCCCAGCATAACATTCTCCAGTTCTCTTAATTTGTGCTCCAGGTCATTAACATTATCCACTGAATGAGACCTGTTCGAATCCAAATAACAGTTGCTGTAACTTGAATGATTCATATCTGATGAATGCTCCTGCTGACAAACAGGACTGCCGTTGGGCGAAAAATTGACAGTAGAAGGAGAATTATAAGCAAGAAAGCTGCCACTTCCTGTGGATGATTCAATGGTGCTGTGCTGTTCAGGTGTTTGAACAGAGAATTGTGTAATACCACCTTCATAGCTTGTATAGAGATCTAGATTATCTAATGGAGTTAACAAATAGGACTCAAGCTCATGGGGAGGTTCATTGTAGAATCTGGCGGTCCCATTTGAACTCCCATGGTTCTGAGATGTCTCCATTCTGCAGTAACCAACTTTATGATTTAGCAGTACAGTAGAAAATTTAAGTTGTCTGAGAACTCGGCTATGGAATAATCAACCTTGGCCACCACAAGTTACGCGCTCCGACATTTAAAGCTCCAAGGGAAAGATTGTTAGGCTGTTCATCAATTTAAATTGACTCATTCTGCAAAAGACTTCGTAAAATTATTATAGAAAAACGATTTCTCATGCACATGGAAAACAAGCAGACCATTTTGAGAGACTTCATGAGGATATAGGAGAGGTGCGTTGAGGAGTGGGCCCCAAGCACCTGAGCAACTTGGGCAACTCTATAATAAGCTTCAAAACTAGAACTTAAAACCAGTCTTTAGTGCTTAAATTCAACTATAAACGAGTCTATAATCTCTATCAGAGGAAGACAATAGCATAGCGTATAAAGGAAGATTATGTATCCTTGCATTCTGATAATGTTAAGGCCTAAAAGATCATTAAATTACCAACTTAGTATCTACAGAAGACCTAGTACTAGTAAATTGAAGGGCGACATAAGCAATAAAGAGATTAAAGATAGTTCTAAAAACTATAAAATGATAAGGAAGGGGGAAAGGTAACCAAAAAAAGATGATTAATAAAATTGTGAGTGACAACAACCATCAATTATTCCCCAGAGATTTCATGTGATCTTGTTCGATTAAATTCCGGGAGAGCTCTATAAATTATTATATACAAATTCCAGTAATTAATTTGAAGATTGAGGATACAGTCACAGGCCAATAAAATTTTTTATAAGTTCATGTAAAAGCTCAAGAAACACGCGCGGTTTTAATCAAAAGATCTCAGTTTTCACAAACCCATATCTCAGACTCCATAAAATCTACTCACACTCAGCTAAAACATTAAATTAACATAAAATAATTACCATGAATTCCTTGCTAAATACCCCAAATTTATTTTGAACCAAGAAACAGTATCTGGAGAATTCAGCAGAAATTCATAAGAACTTCAAGTAAAAGCTCAAGAAACACGCCGTTTCCAGATGTGTGTGTGTAAGAGAGAATTAAAAGATCCCAGATTTTACAAACCCGTATCTCAATCTACTCAAACTCAGCTAAAGCATTAAAATTTAACATATAATAATTCCTTGCTAACCCTCCCCCAGTTGATTTTGACACCAAGAAACGGTAGCTGGAGAATTCAGCAGCAATTGTATTCTCTGCTTGGAGAACTTACGTACCTTTTCACTGATAGTTTCTTTGTAATTCTTCTTGATTCTACTCAACTTCAAATAAGTTTTCAGTGATTTTTATTCTTTGTTACAGGAAAAATTGTAGTAGCAGTGGCCGCTTAATTGCAAATTTATCACAGCCGTTGTCCTGCTAGTACTGACGCGGTTTCTTCTACACGAAATTGATTCCTTTGTCAACGAAAGGGATAAGTGTTCATCTGACATTTTAGTTGCAAATTTTTGTCCCGACTTGACATTTTCTTATGAAATTGACGAATATAAATTAATAAAAATATATCTCGAAAAGCTGACTAGAAGGTCAAATCATGATATTGGTCTAAAATGGAGAAGTACATCTGATGATCAAAAGTTTTTTTAAACCTTTTAAATTTGGCCATAAACTTCTTTCGACTACCGATTGTTACGGATTATATCTTAATTAGTAACGCAACTTAAAAATTTTGATTTTTAGTAGATTTTGATAAAAAATTATAAATTTAAATGAGCTGTGTTTTAAATTGACAAACGATAAAATAACATGTGGTATGTATGTAATTCATTATTTAAAGCTTGATGTACATGTATGTAGCAAGTTCCATATCGAAGAAGATACCTACAATGTATGTTGACTCATGCATCTTTTCTCTGCCATGACAAATAGTATAGAGGCTTGCCCTATAACAAAACATAAACGAGTCTATAATCTCTATCAGAGGAAGACAATAGCATAGCGTATAAAGGAAGATTATGTATCCTTGCATTCTGATAATGATAAGGCCTAAAAGAACATTACCAACTTAGTATCTACAGAAGACCTAGTACTAGTAAATTGCAGGGCTACATAAGCAATAAAGAGATTAAAGATAGTTCTATAAACTATAAAACGATAAGGAAGGGGGAAAGGTAACCAAAAAAAGAAGATTAATAAAATCGTGAGTGACAACAACCATCAATTATTCCCCAGAGATGTTCATTTGATCTTGTTCGATTAAATTCCGGGAGAGCTCTATAAATTATTATATACAATTACCAGTAATTAATTTGAAGGTTGAGGATACAGTCACAGGCCAATAGAATTTTTTAGAAGTTCATGTAAAAGCTCAAGAAACACGCGCGGTTTTAATCAAAAGATCTCAGTTTTCACAAACCCATATCTCAGACGCCATAAAATCTACTCACACTCAGCTAAAACATTAAATTAACATAAAATAATTACCATGAAAATACCCCCAATTTATTTTGACACCATGAAACAGTATCTGGAGAATTCAGCAGAAATTCATAAGAACTTCAAGTAAAAGCTCAAGAAACACACAGTTTCCAGATGTGCGTGTGTAAGAGAGAATTAAAAGATCCCAGTTTTTACAAACCCGTATCTCAATCTACTCAAACTCAGCTAAAGCATTAAAATTTAACATATAATAATTCCTTGCTAACCCTCCCCCAGTTGATTTTGACACCAAGAAACAGTGCTGGAGAATTCAGCAGCAACTGTATTATCTGCTTGGAGAACTTACGTACCTTTCACTGATAGTTTCTTTGTAATTCTTCTTGATTCTACTCAACTCCAAATAAGTTTTCAATGATTTTTACTCTTAGTTACAGGAAAAATTGTAGTAGCAGTGGCCGCTTAATTGCAAATTTATCACAGCCGAGGTCCTGCTAGTACTGACGCGGTTTCTTCTACACGAAATTGATTCCTTTGTCAACGAAAGGGATAAGTGTTCATCTGACATTTTAATTGCAAATTTTTGTCCCGACTTGACATTTTCTTATGAAATTGACGAATATAAATTAATAAAAATATAGCTCGAAAAGCTGACTAGAAGGTCAAATCATGATATTGGTCTAAAATGGAGAAGTACATCTGATGATCAAAAGTTTTTTTAAACCTTTTAAATTTGGACATAAACTTAAAGGTTGAACCCCAACCTTAAGGGTACCCCATCGTTCCTGCTTTGGAGCATTGTGATGGAGGTAAATCGCAGGTTATGCCTTCAAGAGTATAGGGTGGAAGGCTGCTTGTACACTTGCACTTACCCAAAAGTCAAATTCATATTTCAAGATTCGAACCCTTGACGCGGCAGTCTCAAGTAAAACTGGATTTCTCCACCCTCCCCTTTTACCACTTGGAGATGTGCCCTGGGGGCAAATTTGACCATAAACTTCTTTCGACTACCGATTGTTACGGATTATATCTTAATTAGTAACGCAACTTAAAAATTTTGATTTTTAGTAGATTTTGATAAAAATTATAAATTTAAATGAACTGTGTTTTAAATTGACAAACGATAGAATAACATGTGGTATGTATGTAATCCATTATTTAAAACTTGATATACATGTATGTAGCAAGGTCCATATCGAAGAATATACCTACAATGTATTTTGACTCATGCATCTTTTCTCTGCCATGAAGAATAGTATAGAGGCTTGCCCTATAACAAAATTACTCTTTATAGCTTAATACATGTATAAATTTCTCAAAGTACCCTTATAGCACTTAGATTTTTTTCCCTCAGAGATTCCAGCCTTTAACCAGCAGACCTCCCGCCCTCTAACTCCCCTTAACCTTACCGTAGACGAGGAAGAAAGTGTACATTAGGCTCCATACAGTCTCGACCGACCTCAACTCGTGTGTGTGTATATGTGTATATATATATATATTTTCCCCATTATAATACATAATAGTGATTACATGCTTAGCAATAGCACCCAACTGCACAAGAAACATTGTTTCAACGCCAAAAAATGGTCAAACTGGCTGCATTTGTGTTTTTCTAACGTTGTTTACATTTGAATTTTGACAATTTCGAGACACATTGTACCAATGTAACTACCAGTGTTGACTTGTGTGTGAATTCACATGATACATCTAGCTTATGATGTCAAATTGTAATAAATAGGCCACCTTTATACATTTAATTTCATTTATTTGATGGTGCAATTTTTCCATTAGAATATTTAGAATTTAATAGAAGCATTAAGAGGTAATAATGCAGGAAAGATTATTGGTTTAATGGTGGATCCCACTAGAGTAATGTTTCAAACAATCATTCACCATCAAGCTGCAATTCATTATAATTAATTAGTCAACATCACTAATGATAATTTTTCATAATTAAGTGACCTTTCACTTCAACCTATATAAAACTAAAAGTTGGCATCTAATTGCAGTTTCACTCAAGAAATATTGAAAATCCTGGCTGGCTTTTATCACAGAGTCTAAAAGCAACATTACAAAATTCTACACGTTAAGGTGTCTGTAATCTATTATGCTTCAACAAGTTTTTTCCTAAAATTGGCATGAACAGTCCTATGCCAAGTTCACTTTGTTATTAGGTGCTTGAGAATTCATGAACCTCTTAAAGAGCATGTTAAGAAACATTAGAAGGGTGCGTGTAGCAGTCCGCCCTAAAGTAGGGGTGTTGAACCGATTCTCCCTTCTCTCCAAATTCACACCTCGGAGCATACCATTCTTATAGAGATAAGTGTACTACCACATCTTCTTAAACTGAAATGAAATGGTTTGGGAGGGAAAATTCATTGTATATTAAAATTATCAACAAGAGAAAAGCAAGGTCATAGCTCTCCAACCCATCTTGAGTCCTGATCCTTCCTCCATACAGGAGCAAGTGAGATTGGTTGTTGTGCGCTTAAGAGAGATGACTTAAGAAAATTACCCTTAATAAGATAATTCTTTAAAAGATTTGGCATGTAAAGCATCTTTTTAGACAAATAGATGACGAGCCCACCTTCGTGCTTCGCTCGACCCACCCATTCAAGTTAGCTCACATCACCGATACGTGGCTCAGCTCATGCCTCGATGGGGCGATATAAGTTTGCACTTTTATGAGAGACTTGACATCTAATGGATTCACCATGCGCATGCATGGCGCCGCTATGGCTGGTTTTCAGGTTTGAATTCTGGCGATTTTTTATGAAATATTCCTACTTTTCGTGAATTATTGACACTATTTTGCGGAATGTGAATTGAAATATATAAATAGGTAATAAATTTCAATTAACTAAACAAAATTACATAGTGTCTTTAATTCAATTCTTTTTGTGTTCTTCAAGTCCTTGGAAGAAAAATACAAGTGCTTAAGTGTTTTCTTTTTCAAGGCTTGTTCATTGCTACAAACTATTTGTCCCGAGTCCCTTTAAGCACTAAAAGCAATTTAGCAATTATTGTTTGAGGACAACGAATATGTGTACATGATCGTTTTTAGCATTCTTGCATCTACATTTGTTCTCTTCTCCCATTCTTCCTAATTTTGGTTCAACAGGCGGTACCTAAAAGGTAGCCAGAGATGCCAGGTATTTTGGTGAGATGGAGGTTGAAATGCCCAAAACCTATGTCCAGAATGTTATTTAAATAATTCATTTAGTCATTATAAGAGTTGATTGACACATTGTGATACAAAAAAATTTGAAGAACTTTGCAATATAAAATAAGCTATTTTATTGTCTCATAATATGTCAAATAAATTTAATCCATTAATGAAATATAAATTCATTGATTTGGAAAATAAAATTCTGATTACAAGATAATTTTAAATTAAATGCTAAATATTGAAAGAAAATAAAATTCGTGATCCAGCAACACAAATTTTGTCACCAGTCTCAAGCTCCAACTTCGATTAATCAAGTACTTGGAAAATATTTTAAATATAAAATGAGCATACCAATACACCCAATAGAGATTTAATGACAGTATTTTCACAGTTTAATATAAAAAATAAGTAAAATATGCAAATAACATAATTTTAGAAAGGGATGGAAACCTGACAATCTCATTCTCACTTAGATCATATCCATTCTCAATCTCCACTTAGGGTACTTAACCCTATGATTGATTTCTGTGTAGATCCACATAATAATATCTTGTAGTATTACTCACGAGATCTTTCTTTAATTTGGATAACATAATAACATATAAAAGACATAACTTAAAACATTGAAAGATGAAAACACAAAACCACTTGGCAGCTACTTACTTAGGACCGAAAATTCTTGTGAACGGATCTCGAACACGCCAAAAAATATGGTATCTATGTGAATGGAACTGCAACAAGATGGTATTTATAGGTGCGATTTGATAAAGATAGTTAACTAATTAGAATTTTAAGAGGACTATTAATTCAATATAGATTGATCTTTCAACAAATAAATTTATCATAAAATTCGAATTTAAGAAAATTCTAATTACATGAGAATAAGATTTCAGTATGGATATATGCAAATTTCAAGTTTTATCTAAATACTTTTATATCGGATAATTAAATAATAATTTATTAGATATCGAAAATAGTATTAAAATTTAATTCAGTGTAAAACTCATATATATTCAATTATTAGGAATATTAACACAAGGTCCCTCGAAAGTGGTAAGATTTTTAAGTTACCCTAAAATCTCAAAACTTGCATTTATACCTCATAATATATTATACGTATGTTTCAGGTATTACAGAGGTAGTCGAGGGTGTTAAAATTGCCAACCGTCTTAGCTAACGGAGGGTTCCTTTCAATCATCGGATACTTCAGCTTTGCCGATGCTTTTATGTCTACGTTCATTCTCTTCTCTACTGCTTACTACTTCTTCTCCCAGTTCTGTAACGCAACTCTGAGAAAAATGGAGTTTCCAGCTTAGTGACTAAAATGGCTCTAGCTGGGCTGGGCTGGGCTATCTGTTCAGTAAGCCCAAAATTGATTCTTATACCTTTTTCTTTTTTTCTTTTTTCGTTCTGGTAAAAATGATACGTATTACTAAGGGCTCGTTTGGGGGTTTATGTTTTTGCTTTTGCTTTTTTGGTGAAAGAGCTTCGTTTTCCTAAAATCCCCTCTAGCCAGATAAAGCACTATCTAAAAATTATTCAAACAAGTTCAAAAACGTCTTCTGAATCTTAGAAATAATTTTTAACTTTTTAAAAGTCCTATCAAATATGTCTTCTATTAATTGTATTATTTTTCAGCATAATACGAAGGGATTTTAAGAAAAATCGCCTAAAAATAAACTCGTTAAATATATTAGATCATTCAAGGTTTTATTCGTCATCCCATGATCAAGCATAATAAGATTTGATTATAAAAAAGAATGAGGTGCGACCACAATATAATTAGAGAACATTTCAATTTTTGTGTCTTTTTTAGTAATAACTAATAAGTCATCTTAAATAAAATTGGTGTACGTGCTTTTAAAATAATTTATTAATTAATGACACTTGAATGCATCAAATAACAAATTGTTGTGTGTATGTCACATAAAAGAGCTACCGATAGTTTTTACTATGAATAATTTTATTCATTTAAATATAATTACTCATATTTATTTGCAAACTCAAGCTCGTGCATCAATTTCAAAGGTGAATATTTTAACATTGTTACGCCCTCACCAAATGACTTCAGCACATCAGTCCCACTCCTCTACGAGGCGCCACGTGTCCCTACGAAGTGGTTTCGAAGCCCGAACTCCAATTTGACGTACTGCAAGGCACATACATCACAAACTAAATCTACTGAAACGATCGAAGCGTCCCCCTGAAATCGAAGCGTTTGGCACTCCGAGATGCTCTTTTAACATATTCCTTCGCCGTCAATTTCAGAAGTATATCTATGTCAGGATCCTCAACCCCATGGATTAAGTGATATGACATCTCCACAAGTTTAGTTGATGTGACATATCAACTTTATGTCAATTCAACTCAGGAGAATTAATTATCCGTCCACTCTAGACGCGGTTGATTGACGTCTACGAGCGGACGTCTAACACCGTCAGATGCATACACGTGTTCCACATTCAACGGTGCTCCTCGTCTATATATACCCAATGTTTGGTAAAAAACAAAGGTAATGAAACTCATACTAAACATAGCTCTCCACACTCAAGAAATATTTATTCTCCTTCTCACTCTCTTGCACAATTCGATCTTTGATCCGATTATTGACTTGACCGTCGGAGTGTATGTGGCCGCTACCACCCACATTGATTCCGAACATGCGCTTTTGATCGTTTGTTATTGTGCACATGGAGGATTACGTGAAGCGGCTATCGATTGGTCATGTTGAGGGTTTATTTCGCGAGGTCAACAAATATCATGGAACATGTGTAATTAAAAAGTTACTTAAACCACTCAAATTAAGCAATTCGATCCTTTTAAATAATATTTGAGTAATTCTCAAGATCAAATCTATATCCATTTCATGTTACTAAATCCGCCCCATTTAAAATGTAGAAAATAAAAATTCAAGCTCGTGGTACAAGTCACCGAGTTTATACTAAAACGGTGGCTAACGAGTACAAGCTTGCTTCTTAAAAAGTGAGTACAAGCTTGCTTCTTAAAAAGTTATTATAATCAATTCTATAGTTGAAGTACAATAATATTAAATTAAATCTCAGTTTTAATGATAAATTTGAGTATAGAATATATGATTATTTTTTGCAATTTTGTCGTTATTGGACATGCTGTGAAGTTTAACGCAACTAAATTTTTAATTCTAAAAATAATAATAAAGAAATCCACGACACCCTGGCGGCGGACGTGGCCAAACTTCAGCACCACTCAAGCGCGCATACAATTTGCAACTACACGGATAGATGTCAATTTCTTTATGTTGGGTTCTCTTACAGCCGCATATATAATAATTGTGAATCTCATAAATATGCGATTGAAAATAAGTATGAAAACAAAAAAAAATTTTAAATTGGAAATCAAACACGGGCTAAATATCTTTGGCACATATTAGTTGTTGAGGAAGGACGAGAATTTGGTGGATGACTTATTAGTCCTTGTTTGGTGTAATTCACAATCAATTTTTTGTAAATTTTCATAAAAGTTACAGAAATGTATGATTGAAAAGATATAAATCATATGAAATATTGGGGTCATGAATTCAACTGGCCCCACCTTCCACCGCCACTAGCGCGCACACACACATCATCTATGCATATTTCACAAGCTAATGTGGAGTGATAGAGACATTGCTCGGGAAGGATTGTAATGTAAAAGGTGACTAGGTTTGCTTTGTCTCCAAAAATCCAATCTCATTTGCCACCACACTGCACCATCTCCATGTGATCCCTTTTGTAAATTTAATCGACAAGTTATAGTCAATTATCATGATTAAGTCGATGTATTTTGTCACATTAAGCAACAGTATTTTTTTAAATTGACAATAACGGTCCTTCTTTTTCACTTTTTGTAAGAAATGAAGTTCGGTGAATTCATATTAAATGTTCGAGAAAGAATAAAATAAACTAAAGATGTTTGTTAGTGGCATTTTTCAATTTTCTCGCTAGGTAATCTAACACACTTAAGCGTGAAGTAGTTAATTTGATTTTAGTTGATTTCTCCTATTTGATGTAATGACTCTGCTCCTATCCCAACTTGTACCCAAAGATGTACTTTTAGTGATTTTTTAACCTTGTTAAAGGGAAGATTATTAAGTTGACATCTCTCATCTTGAATACAATTAATCTAATTGAAAAAAATTTATATCATCCATTTCTATGAAATAAAGAGTTTAAATTTGTTGGTTATTTTTCCTTTTTTTTTTTTTAATGAGAATTTTTGTTAGCACTTAAATTGTAAAACTGATTTTAAATAATATATAATACAAAGTCTTTCGTATTTTAGAATAATTTCAAGATTCAAATTGCACACATGGCGACTTACAAAGAAATGAAAATTATGCATAATTTGGTGTATTTTGGAACATCTTAACACAATTAGGCGATCAAGAAGTTGTAATTTATCATATTCTTACTATAAGTGATCTATGATGTTCTTGATAAAAATAGATGATTCTACTCACAAAGAAGGTGATACAAAGAGATGATTTAGTGTGTGAGTTGCTGTATATATATATATATATATATAGAGACACACACAATTCAATATGGTTTTACATAGTCTAACCAATCGTTTTCTACTATGCCCATTTTTGGTAAAAAATTAAATTTAGGTTTTTATCTAAATCAAAGTCAACAATTAGTTTTAACCAAATATTTTATGGGATTCACAACTTTTTAACCACATATTTCATTGACCTCTATCAAAATTCTCTGAAAACCCAATTTTAGTCCTCACCAAACAGGGGGCTGTATATGTACTGTCATTTGAATAATGCTAACAAATGGTGTTAGAGCACCAATTTAGATTGCAACAGTTGATATATTCAATTAAACGAATACTTTTACTTTGCAATTAAGTGAATATATCATTTAATGTTATGTAGTTACCACCTAAACTTATACTTGACATCGATAGTGTTAAATAATATCACTCCTATTTTTGGACTAATTATTGTTGCTTTCAATAGGTTGCTGCATACCTGTCATTTTTAATATATTAAGATAAGATGAAGAAAAATAAAGATAATTATGAGGCTAATTTTGAAATGGCAAAAATCTATCGGTTTGATGAGTTGAGAAATACAACACAAATTACGTCATACCCCCCAAAAACTAATAAGCATTGATTTTTCCAACTTTTCATAAAACAATGTCACCCGAAAATACTCAAAACTAGTGAAAAGCAAGCCCTTGGGTGGATTTGCTTAATGGTTGAGCCATATTTAATATATGAAGCTAGCTTAAGCAATAGTATTTTAAGATTCTTAAAATAGGGGAAATAAAAAAATAATTTGATCAATTGTAAACAAAAAGCCAAACAAGCATTTTGTTTGATAAAAAATTAAAATAAAAATGTACTAATTGGGTGGATGGTCAAACATCAGTTACTTTGTAACCCAAAGTACATAAATTGCAGGGGTCAAAACGAAAATAAGAAATTTCAGCAGGAAAACTGGACATTGTGATAACTAATGGCCCTATCAATATGATATTTTAATACCATATCTAAAGCTTGTTTGGGAGCGATTTTTCTCAAAAAAAATGATTTTTTGATCATTATTTCACTATTTCAATCGTCATATTTGACTTCTTCTCTCATAGATGGACCCCACTTTTCTCTTAACAGTCAAAAAATCAATTCTCAAAATCACTCCCAAACATGCTCCTAAAAACCTTTTCAAATTCTGTTCTCTCCTTTTTTAATTAAAAAAATTAAAAATCTTAAACTGAAAAAAATAAAAATAAATGAAAATGGGTAGGAAAACTACTCTCCCTCTCATTTAGTCAAATTTATATCCCTAAGATTTTGCCGCTTGAAAAGGTCGTTAATGATAAAATCATATCCCCCAATTACCCATAATGCCCCCTATTTTATTTTCTCCTCGATTATTTCTTTATTTTATTTATTAAAATCGGTCCATTCGTTTGACTCAACATTAATCAAAATTTGAAATTAATCGGATCCCGTATTTGTTTTTTTGTTTTTTTTGATATCCAGGTATCTTAATTTACACTAGACTAAATCCTGGACCCCAAGACCCTTGCCCCTAGAATTTTAGAGGGGGTAAATCGCGAGTTATGCTTCAACTGGATCACATGTTCACTCATTGACTGTACACTTCTGCGCACAAGAGACCCTCCTCCACAGTGATTGCTCCATACCAAATTTTTTGGCCGCAGGTTCCCACTAGGAATCGAACTCTCCACCCTGTCGCTGGAAGCAAGATAATGTTGATTGATCCACCAGTTGAGTTGTGCCCCGGGGGGCCCATATTTGTTTCTTTTATTTGTACGGAAATATGACTATTGTCTTTTTGTGGCGAAAAATATAAATTTAAAGTTATATTTCGTTGTTAATAATGTTTGTACATTTTTGTCGTCAACAAAAAAAAATAGTAAAATAACACTATGGGTGTAGATAAATTAATCTATCAAGTGAAATGGGGCCCATGACTAAAATTTATATATTATAGTCGATGAAACCATGGGCCCATAGCCAACCAATTATATAAAATCAAATCTTTGCACTTAGCCGGAAGAAAATGAAAGAAAAGATAAACTTGTATTTGCTTCGATCAACAAAAATCTTGAAAAAACGATCCAACGGTTGGCACTAAGAGTGGACCACGTTAATGTATAGACGAAACTGACGTTCTCGCCTCTCAATCACCAGATGTACGTGGACCGACATGTCTTTCTCCAGTTTCCCCACATTGGAACTTCCGAAAATTGAATTAATATTCCATGGGATTTTGGTAATTTGTCAGGGCTAATTTTGTAATACCATTTTCAAGCTGGCATCAACAATATCGTAAATCTAGGGATTTTTTTTTTTTTTGAAATTAGCTGGAAATTCTAAAAACTTCACTTTCACTATATTGTTTAACAAATAACTGAAAAAGTGATAAGTATTATCTATTTATTCGAAGAAAAATAAATTTATATTTTGCAAATGTAGCAGTGAAGAGGCACAGCCATATTGCCATTTAAAGCGTCATTTTCTTGTCATTTTGCTTCGGCAGATTATGATGGTTTCTGTTTGTTTATGCTGAGGAGTTTGAGGCACTTGGAGAGTGAAACAGTGAGAAGAGAAAACTAGAGAGAGAAGAAACATGGATGAATAGAGAGACAAAGATTAAATTTTTTTTTTTCCCCTTCTAACGAAGAATTACAGTTGACTTTCTTCCTCGTACTACAAGATCTTGAGGTATGTTCGATATTTCTGTTCTTTGTTTATGTTTAATTTATGGGTTGTGTTTAAAGTAGTGTTTTGCTGGTAAAGAATTTTGAGTTCTGAGATTTGCATGAGATTTAAAGATTTTTCTCTTTAACGTGGGTTTTTCGTATAATATTTTTTTTTTTTTTTTTTTTGTTATTTAAGATTGTCCTAAAGAAAGTCCTTTTTGGATTGCTTAGTCTTAATTCTTATGATTTATTGTTAAACAATTAATGTTTAGTTTTTCCTGTTTTGGGAAAAAAGTTCTGCTTTAGTTCTTTGTTGTTATTTTTTCCTTTAATGGTTGTATGAATTTAAAGCATGGACTTGTGGTTTCAAGCAGAATATTGAATCTTTTACTATGTTTCCTGTAGTTGAGATCTACACAGGATCCGCAATTGAATTTATTCTCCCATGTTTGTTCAGAATAAGGTTTTTTTGTTTTTCTTTTTCAAATTTATGTATCAGTAATGTTCTATTCGTGACTGTTTCGTTTGTTATATGTATGCAGCTAGTAGAGGTAAAATGAATTCTTTCGAGGCTGCGAAGCTTGTGCATGACAGAATCTCAAAATTGGAACCTGAACATGTTGCTAGGAAGATTATTGGGTGTATTTATTTGCAAGACCTTCCAGACCAGGAAATGATCAGATTAGCTTTGGGACCTGACTGCTTAATCCAAAACTTAATAAAAAGGATAAAATCTGCTTTTATGTTTGCTTCGCCGCCAGTTCTTTCACCTCCAATTTCTCCTTCCATGCCGAGTCCTATTTTGGATTCTTCCCTTCAGTTTGCCCCCTTTTCATCTCGTTCTATATTTAAGAAATTAGCTCCTTGTTGGGAATTACCTGAGCAGCCGCAGCTGATGCCTAATTCTTCTTTCAAACATTTACCATACACCAATTCACTTAATGAAGAATATGGTTTCCAAAACCATTATATTGGTTTGGAAGATCACTCAGAACCAGTGATTTCCGGAACTTCAGGTTTTCTAAGTGATTTCTATTGCCCAGAAGCTACTTTTAATGAGATGGGTATTAGGGGTAGCAGAAATTCTTCAAGCCTAATGGAATATCCAGTTAAGACTTGTCACTATTTCAATAAGGGTTTTTGTAAGCATGGCAGTAACTGTAGGTATCTTCATGGAGAATCTTTCCCAGAGAGCTACTCACATATGTTTGGTCCTAATTCGTATGAAGCTGCTAATGAAGATCATGTTTTCTTGGCCGGGTCCCTCGAAAAATTGGAACTTGAAATCACTGAGTTATTGAAATCCTGGAGAGACCATCCGGTTTCAATTGCATCTCTGCCTATGATGTACTATGAGAGATATGGAAGATCTCTGCAAGCTGAAGGTTATCTTACTGAAAGCCAGAGACATGGTAAAGCTGGCCATAGTTTGACAAAACTTCTTGCTCGACTGAAAAATAGTATTCGGCTTATCGACAGGTTTAGTTTTGGACCTTATATGTTGTCAGGTTATTTGTATACTCTATTAAATAACAGTTTTCTTCTGATTTTCACGACGCAGGCCTCATGGGCAGCATGCAGTCATACTGGCTGAAGATGCCCCAAAATATATGGACATCCGGGGTGAAAGAAATGATCCTGGCCCCATTGTTAGTGGTTCACATCAAATTTATCTAACTTTCCCAGCTGAAAGCACTTTTACTGAGGAAGACGTTTCAAATTACTTCAAGTAATGAACTCTCAGTTTTTCCGCGTTGCTTCTCATGTTTGCCCTCGATCTTCCCCATATTGAAGTTCTAATTGTTTTCTGGTTCTTTTCCTTAGTACCTTTGGTCCAGTTCAAGATGTGAGAATACCCTGCCAGCACAAGCGGATGTTTGGCTTTGTAACTTTTGTGAGTGCAGACACTGTGAAGTTGATTTTGTCCAAGGGCAATCCACATTATGTTTGTGGGGCTCGCGTTCTTGTGAAACCTTACAGAGAAAAGTCAAAGCTTGTCGAAAGGTATTAGCTCAATATTTTCTTGAACAAATGCACTGCTGGTTGCCTATTCATTTGCAGATTCATTTTCCAATTGAGATGACCATAATTTTGTGTTCACCTAATAGCACTTGCCAGTTGGTCTGTCACTTCACCTAAACAGAAACTTGAAGACGATGATTTATCAATAGTTTTACTGTTTCAAGAATAATCCCCTTCCCTGTCTTTGTGTGCCTCTTTGACATTTCTTTCCTCTTGACTATAGGAAGTACCTGGAAAAACTTGAGCATCCGATGCATTATCACTCACACCATTTTGGTATCAACTCTGAGCTTCAAGAGAGTAAGTTATTTGGTGCAAACCCCAAGTGCTATTTCTAGCTTAAATACCGTGCGATTAATTAATAGATGAGAGTTTTATTCTTGTTAATTTGCACAAAGTAATGAATCTTCTGTCAATGTCAGGATGGGAATCCTCTAGGATGATTAGAAGGCAGCTTATGGAAGAGCATGAACAGGCCCTTGAACTTGAGGCACTGCGTCTTTCACAGCTCCAGCTAACAGGCAAACATCTGGTGGGTCAGTCATGCATGGGTTATTCCCTGGACGAGCTAAAACCACCTGAAGGTATTCTTGTCTCTTCCTTTTACGAGAACAAGTGAATAGATAACGATTATATACATAGGCACAATATTATGATTACTAAATCAAACTTGGATAGATAATTCCAAATTTACATCGGCAGAGCAACTCAATTATCTGCTTGATGTTCTTAACAATGGCTCTGCGAGCCCTGATAACCCCATGTACTGGATCACCAACTGTGGTGAGCAGGAAACGCATGAGATTAATTTTCGGCTAAACAACACAAAACCCACTTCCTATTGGGCAAACTGTTGAAAAACCCCCTACCTTTGAAATAGCATAAAACGTCCTTGTTTGAAATGCTTAGTGTGGAATACTCTCATACCGTCCATTTTCTCAATAAAAATTTATGACAGGTAGAGGGGCTTTCGGCAGTTTGCCCAATAGGTGGGGGGATTTTGTGCTGTTTAGCCTTAATTTTCTTAGTTTTGAACGTCTAGAGAATACGATTATCTCACTCACTATTTCCATTTTTGCAGCAATCAAGGACTTAAATCTCCCTGATAGCCCATTTGCATCTGCATTAGCTAACAGCATTTCTGCCGTCATATAAATAGGAGAGAACACGCAAGAACTGCGCAGTTTATAGAGTGGCGTTGTCTTTAGTCATGGATTTTCTGCTTATTCCTTTCTACTTGGTTTGCTTACAAATCAAATCGAAGCTGCAAGTACATATATCGGCGAAGAAGAAACATTAGAAGCATGTCATCCCAATTTCTCAGGCTGAAGGAGGTAGGAAAGAAGAAATTGATATACGAAGTCCAATACTTTTTTGCTTTTGAAATCCCACCATAGAAAGAGGACAGAGCTCATCGCTAGAAAGAAGATGTAATATAGGAGTCGAGCTATGAAAGAAAGTACTTAGTGGTACATATGCAGGTCGCAGAGAAAGTGAAAAAATGTTCAGAATCTCTGTGAAACCGATAATAGACTGAATAGCTAAATAAATACAGTTAGCAGTATCTTTACTAAATGAATTGAGTTTATATTCTGAACTCTGAACTGTCTTTTGATGCAGAATTTGTTCTTGAATCCATCTTACATATTCGCGATCCATTTGTTTGTACATGATGGGGTCTCAATCCTTTGAAGGCTACTTGCAGCAAATTTTCGAGCTCAACCCACCACAGTTGTTGGGGGTGAGAGCGAAGAGCTGAAGTTTGCTGTCCAACTTTTGCTGAACATAGTAGTTCATTTTTGTCTCCCGATCTGGTTTCGGTTAAGTAATCTGTCTATCACTTAATTGTTTTCACTCAATTAAACATTGACACATCATCATGTGAGAGTATCTTTAACAATATTTGAAATTAAAATTGATGACGCGTTAATTTAAAATATGCTGTGCCACTAATTAATTTGGTGGACAACAAATTGGATAGTAAAAGTTGGACGTAAAATCTCAACTCGAGATTGAACCCTTAGTCAAATTCTTGAACTATCTAAACANACAACAAATTGGATAGTAAAAGTTGGACGTAAAATCTCAACTCGAGATTGAACCCTTAGTCAAATTCTTGAACTATCTAAACAAATGCATAAAGTCAAGTCGAGTTTCTTCCAATAAGGCATATAGTAGTCAGCTTTGGATGTGAACTCTCGAGATTTCCATTTTGTTCATTCATGTCCATATTTTGCCAATATATAATTCCCAGCTTTTTATCAAGTAGATCACTACGTGTAAGTTTTATAATTAAACAGCATGCACAATTTCTAGGCTGGCACGGCCGACTTTCTTTCTGAGCAAGCTAGTCATTCCGGCTGCATCTTCTCCGATCACCACCACTTGGTCTTTGTTTTTCCCTTCTAATGCCCCTGAAACCACTCCTTCAACCCCACCAAAAGTTAGCTTAAATTTTATTAAATCCTACACTAATTAATTTTATCCAAACACCAAAATTGATCTACATACTTAACAGGAAAGACTACTAGAATCAATTCTAATGAAAATAAACCAAGGGCCAATTTTGCAAGCCTTCTGCTTATACTTCTTGTAGAGAAATTTCTTTCAAAAGATATTGTAACATATCTAGAAGTAACTTCATAGTCTGCTTGTCAAATCCCTGCCAAAAGGGCCTTAACAAAGGAAAAAGTATTAGTGAATTAAACCATGATTGATTTAGTAGAAGCTACAAGTTTGGATGAAATTAAATTGTAGCTACAAAAATTTTAAGAATTGGTCCCCAAAATAATCAGGTTTTTTAAGTTGTGGACCTGTCATGCAAATAAAAAAGACTTGAAATGAACAAACAGAGGACCAAAATGCACGAAACTGGAATCTTAATCAGACAATCAATATTATAAATCCAAGAACACGTTTGGGAACATTCTAAATTACAATAGAAATGCATTGTTTCAAACGAGAACAAATAGTATAATGAACGAGATTGTAGCTTATTTTTCTTCATTAATAACATTCAAGTCTACAGGACACGCCACTAAGTTTGGTACATAGTTCGAACAGTAATTGAAAGTATAAAATAAAAAGTAAAATGTTCAATGCTACAATAAGAGCATGCACTCAAAAGGATATTTCCACTGCGTGCAAGTTTTCAACAGTCAAAAAGTCTAAACGGTTCTCTCATTTTAGCAGCATAAAACTGTGAATCAATAGCTCTAAATATAACAATCTCATAATTAGGAATATTTAACAAGCCCATGAAAAAGAAGTCCACCACCTTACTACTTCAGTTGCTGATTGGCAGAGCAGCTCAAGTCATTCTCCCCTCCAACTTCAATGTTCTTCAACTGCACTTCAAGCAGAAGCAGAGCAAAAGGGAGAGTTCTTTATTTTGCTCACAGAATCTCAAAACAAGCTGGCCATTATCTGCAATGCCTCCAACGACATTCTTGCGTTGTTGAGTAATCCTGCAACAGAGAAAATCTTCCCCAGAACCCACCTCTCCTATAATTTGCAGTCAGGAGAAAAAGCATAGAGGTTGCATGGACAGACCAACTAAGACGACTTAGACGTTGACACTTCTCCATCTCTAAAAAGTTCACATGCTAGCTGAGTATACACGATAACAATTTTGTTTTTTTTTGTTTTTTTTAATATACAAAATTTCTCTCTACTTTCATTTCATTCCAGTAAAGATGGAAACAATGGAGTAAATCAACTACTGTTTACTTAAGTGATCAACACTGTCTTCCTGTACAGAATTTACATAATTATTAGAGAAGCCAGGTTTATCTGCTATCTCCTGAAATGGAACCTCGTTGATTTCTGGCCTATCCAAGTCTTCAGTGCTACTCCTTTTCATGATTTTAGGAACCAAGCGTGTTACCTCTGACGCTGCATCGTCGTGGTTTATACGTTCGAATCTAATGGCACTAACCTTTCTGGCATTTCCTGCTAATACCTGCACCACACTATTTGTTAGATAACCGTCAAATAATGAAGAAATGGCAACCAGTCTCTAAGCTCGAGGTAGTTACAAAAATGAAGCTTTGATGCCTAGAACAGATCCAGAACCAGTTAGAGAAGGGAAGATCTCATAATATACACGTTGGTTGATTTCACATGTATAATTGCCCACTAAAGGCAGAACTGGAGAAGCAACAACATATGCTATTTATAATATCCATGCTTCACTTGCAAATAATCCAATTCTAAATCAAGAACCAATTGCCCACCAAACAAGGTTTCTTTTCTTGCATTCAATTGGACACTAGAAGAAATCCACCTGGTGATTCGGAGAAGGTTTTGTTTTTCTTTGTTGACAAATTCAAAATAAAATAGAACTGAAAAAGGTGTACAAGTAGCGTCCTATGACCAAACATCAAACAGCTGGAGATGATACTCTAATGAACTCATCTTACATTCCTATTACGTAATAGAGCAAGAGAGCAAGCACTGTAAACCATCGCCTGCCATGTATAAACTTACAGAAATGGTAACAAAAATAAAAGGCATACCTCCAGCTTAAAAATTTGTGTCTTTTCTTTTTCATCTTGTCGTTCAGATTCTACCCCGTTATATTCACCATGATCTTCTCTATTTGCTCTTTCAAGTACCACTTTCAAAGTTTCACCTGTCCTTGGGATATATCCAAATGCCTCGCAGACAAAACCAGACACCGTTTCATATTGATGGCCCTGAATGGATGGAGGAGAATGTCAGCAGTCATTAGTCAACACTTTAACAGACCAATGGCATAATTCATTTCAAATTCATAATTAATATTATTCCACTGTATAGGAAAAATAACAGCAGCATCGAGAGACAATTGTATTCCACAATTGCAAATGTCAATTACTTTTCCACAGAATTTTCAATATTAAAGAAGTTATATATGTGCAATGTGAAGGACATCATCACAATCTCACGGTCTCTAGTCATTTCTCAACAATAAAGACAAACAATATACATAGACCAATGAGTTTGAATGCCTAAAAGCAGGCTTTGACTAGTGATTGGTAGTGTGTATCAGTGAGTATGCACGTTAAAGCATGATTGGCAAGTGTTTTATAAACATTTAAACTATAAATAAATGGAAACGAGTGGTGAATAAGTAGGTAATATTTGCGGGCTCCTCAAAATATGTGGAAAAAGGTGACTTGAGTATTTATAAACAGTTTATAAACATGAGCCATACATAGGCTTATTCTGGTGAACCAACTGGGCTGAGCTGGATTTGAACAAGCATAAACATATTGCCAATGATTACAGTCCTTCCCCATTAACTTCCTGGGCATCGACCCAGGGAGAATCCATTTTAGGCTTATTGGTTCAACTCCCAGGACAATCGGTCAAACTCAATAAGAGTAAAATGGAATACCTCTGGCATTTTAATATTAAGGTCTTCAGAAAGCTGGTCAATTGATGTATTAGCATCCACATCATATATGCCCTCAGCACGCATAACAATATAACCAGTTTTCTTCTGGATTTCCTCCTGCCATGCAGTAAAAGAAAAGGAATATTAAGAGGAATATATCTTAAGGGCAGTCAGATTTCAAGTATAAAATGAATCCTTAACCTAATCTTCTGTCTCGTAATGCTCCTCAAGTATCTCTATAAGAAGTTGAATTACTAGCATAACAAATCTAAACTGGAACATTTATACTATTTATAGTTCCATTCAAGAAACTTCAATTTTCAACATATGCATGCAAAGCCGGTGATAGGAACTTGGCTATGGTTGCTGAATGAAACACTCCTTAGCTGCTGTATATCAGGAATTGCTGTATAAAATGGAAGAATATAAACTGAAATATGTATTGTTATTCAATAAAATGGCACATGAAAATGACAAAGCTCAGGCAATTCGAGAGGCCTGATCTCTCCTCACTTTTTTTCTAAACAAATTCTTTGAATACCCATCCCAATTTCCCCATTCTTTCATTTATAGATAATCCACTAGCTTTCTATTACCCTTTTACCCCTTCGCTAACTAACTATGGAATGGAACACTCTAGAATAGTGGATTACTTGGCTGCCATTTGATTGGATATCTATCATTACCGCCGCCTCGAAATCCACCTTGTCCTCTAGGTGGAGGTGTGGTCCAAATTTAAAATTTGAAATTTCATATAACTGAATCATTTCTTCGGTCAGAATCCCCACCAAGGCAAATGCTGAAATGTGATATTTCAATCCCAACGCAGTTAAAAAGTTCTGGCGCTGACCACCCACACTTAGAATGTTATCCATACAAATCCTATAACCAGTCGCACTCCTTTGCGGGCATTCCAGTTTTTGAACCCGATGGCCCAGGGAAAAATTGTAGCTAATTGCACCGTCAATTATCATGATCTTAAGTCATTGATCAATCTGCCCCTGGAGTTTCATCATCCTTGGAGGCTCCACCTTTTCCCTCTCTCCTATGGCCACCATCATCAGTAAAAGCACTGCAACTGTTGTGGATTATGGAAAGATCGCAGCCGGATTTGGTGCGTGGACCGGACTGAATTGGGCGTTTGGATTTGGGCTGTGGGTATTTGTTTTAATCTTATATGGGTTGTAAATTGAGTTGGTCTTCTTCATAGACTTATTTTTGTCTTCCATCTTTTGGTTCATTTTCACAATTTGGCCCAAACCGTGAGGCTTTGACCTTCTGTCTTCAGCCCATAACTTGGCTATCAACCCATCAGCAAAATTACGCTTAATTAACCCCTCTGGCAATGTCTCCAATGGATTGACCAAGGTTTCCAACAGCTTCTGATCGTGATTGCCCCCGCCCAAAGTCTCCTCTCTGCCCTTCTTTCCTTCCGTACGCACGCTTGCCTCATCAGTTTTGATTGGAATTTCAAGGGGTGGGTTCGGGGGTAGCCCAGCCAACTCATTGGGCCATTTGAAAACTGGATGATTCTGTTGCAGTACCTGCGCAAGGAAGCTGGGAACCTCAGTCTCGGTTTCTTCAATTTCTGCTCCCAATCTCCCTGATTCCAGTAACACCCCTTGTCCTCTTTTTCGGAATGCCTTCACCATAGATTTCATGGACACTTGAGTTTCGTTGAATCCTTCAATTGGAGGACCTTTTTCCATTGGCGTGACGTATGGTAACCACCGTAGGATTTGTACAGTAACCGCCATAGGATTTGGGACAACAATGGGTGTTGGATTGGGAACGCAAGTCGTCTGATAAGGGAAAGCGTGAGAGTTGAAATTTATATTTGGGCTTGGAATGTTACCTCTTCTTCTATTTGGGCATGAATTAAATTGGGCATGTTGTAGAGCTTTAATGCAGTCCTCAACTCTTTGAGCCCATTCCACACTTTGGCCTAACCTTTGAGTATCAGGCATTTTTCCTTCATTCATGACCAACGGCTTCTCCTCATTGACGAAGTTCGGATGATCCAGCTTCCAGTACAAAGGTAGCTAAGAAAGCCAAACTTGGTGTACCACTGGAACAAAGCAAAGTTCTCCTCCAGCATTGCATCTGATATCACCGGCAATGGCACTGATAAATTTTCAATTAATCTTCGGCTTCCTTTGACAGTGGTTTCTTTGCTTCGATTTCAGTTGTCTGTGCTTTTCCCAATTTCATCAGAATTAAGTGGAATTTCAAAGGTGTGAGCAGTTTTAGGTGAAGTGGAATTTCAAAGGTGTGAGCGGTTTTAGGTGAAGTAGCGGCCAATCCTCCCTCCTTTTCTGGTTCCTGTCCCTCCAATTTTTTTTATCATGAAATCCAATTTCTCCATCATCATAGCCATCACCTTCTTCATTTCAGATTTCAGTGTGCCAGGCCTTCTTGTACTTCCATTTGAATTCCATCAATTCTCATCTCCAAGGCTACCACCTGATCTGTAAGAGACATTTTCCTAGATCTCAACCGCTCTGATACCATTTTGATAGGAACTTGGCTATGGTTGCCAAATGAAACACTCCTTAGCTGTTGTATATTAGGAATTGCTGTATAAAATGGAAGAATATAAACTGAAATATGTATTGTTATTCAATAAAATGGCAGATGAAAATGACAAAGCTAGGCTATTCGAGAGGCCTGATCTCTCCTCACTTTTTTTCTAAACAAATTCTCTGAATACCCATCCCAATTTCCCCTTCTTCCATTTATAGATAATCCACTAGCTTTCTATTACCCTTTTACCCTTTTGCTAATTAACTATGGAACACTCTAGAATAGTGGATAACTTCGCTGTCATTTGATTCGATATCTATCAACCGACTGACAACTCTCCAAACGAAGTATAAACTTGATGCCAATACCAACGTGGTGAATGAGAGATGTCCCAAATTCAGTACAGTAAGTCTATTTTATGGTACAAGTGAAGTACAATACAATGAAAACAAGTCCTAAATAAAGGCCTGTTTGGTAGTGATTATGAGAATTGATTTTTTTACTGGTAGAGAGAAAGGTGGGTCCCACCTGTGAGTGAAGAAATAAAAAAATGATGGTTGGAATAGTAAAATAACGATCAAAATTTTATTTTTGTGATTAATTACTACCAAACGTGGACTAAGTATTGACTCTGCTAACACCTTGGTTGGAATTAGTTTCCTTTGACAGCATCTACTGTTTCTCAAACAATGCCATATGTCACACCAGATAACCCCTTACCTATAAAACAAGACTTAAAAATGTACTTATGGAGCTGGCCAATGTTTCCCCTACAATTCTTTTGTTTTGTAGTTAGTGCGTGACAATGGAGCTTGAAAAATTTAATAGGTGAAGCAGAAGTTCTTAGATTCCCTAATCAATATTTGAAATCATTTTCATCAACTGGTGCTGTGTAGTAACATTTTTCTGGTCAGCCGTCAAACAAAAATCTCTTGGGGTATGGGGCTGTATCCACGTTACAACTATAGAAGTAAAAGAGTGTTGTTGATGGTGCAAATTTAGAAGTAGGGACATGAAATGGATTCAAAATCAACAATGGAGTAACAATATCAGTAATATAACAAAATGAAATAAAAATCTCAAACTTTAACCTTACTTTTGAATCATTTTCATCAAAAATTTCACCAACAATTTCCTCAACCACGTCTTCAAGGGTAACTATCTGTTAAAAGTATAAGGCATAAAGAAGATATCAAACGCATAATTCAAATGCAAAAGCCTGCAAATTCGGTTTGGAGAATTAACAATTACATACCAAGAAATTGTACAATTCTTGATAAATAAACAAAACGGAGATTATGACTTACTCCAACAGTTCCTCCATATTCATTGAGAACAACAGCCATATGCACCTTCCTGATGCGGAACTCTCTAAGAAGATTCCACACAGACATTGAATCTGAATTACCACATATGGTCCAACTTAATCAGTTTTAATATAGAACCACTGATCGGAAAACGAATTAGGAGATTCAATAAAAATAAATCAGTCAATAATCAAACAAGTCGGTGAATTCTTTGAAGAACATTCTGTATAGCATTTGGACATTAAAAGCATAGATATCGACTTCAGGGAAAAATTGTTTCTACATAATGCAAACTAGATACATATTCAAGAACGAATCATATCCAAGGTTTGAGGGACTGGGAGACAACAAAGAAGCTTGTGCAAAAAATTTTGTTCCTTAATCATACAATTTTTTAGCTTGTGGCATTTCCGCTTAGAATTCGTAATTGTTATGCAACATTTAATCTGCATTTTCATTTGAATTTTTCTGGCAGCAATATACTACTATTTTTATCAATTATTATTGAATGAAAATACGAATCAACTATAGTCCCTAAGGTGACCAACAAAAATTAAGGTTCTCAGGATATATGTACACGACAGCAATAATATATGATTGGAAATGTGACTTCAGAATGAAAAAACTCAATGTCATTTAATTACCAGGAACAAAGTATGCAGGTTTGTGTGCCATGTCTCCAACTACAGAACTTTCTAGTAGTTCCCCCTTCAAAACCAAACAGAACATAATTCTGCATGTTATGAGAGATTTCTTTGTACAATCAGAAAAAAAATGCAGAAACAACATTTTGGATGAGATACAAAATAGTAAATAGTAGACCTTCTGCACGTAATCAAGAAGATCCATTGCATATGCAATACCAACAATATTGTCAATACGTTCCTCAAAGACAGGTACCCTGCAAACATGTCCATCCACTTCTTAGACTGATTAAATAAGCACCAACAAGCTGATAGAGCCATCCATACCTGGAATACTGATGATCCACCCATGAATTATGGAAATCAACTAATTTTGCACTGGCATCAATGGCAACAACATCAACAAGAGGTGTCATCACCTCTCTAACATGTGTATCTTTTATCTCTAACACATTTTCAATCATATCCTGTGATAGATAATAATTAGACTCTTATGCAGGGAAACTAAGAACAGGATGGAGCTCTATAAATCCATTATACATGTTATGAAGACAACTGATGACTTGGACAGTTCAGTCAGTGCATAAAAAAACATATAAAAATTTATTGAGCGACACAGTAAGTACAAATGCAATCAGAAGGCCCAGATGGTTGCAGTGTCTACTATGGTGTTGTATCTTCCATGTGTTTGCAAGAAAAGTGAAGAATAGTGTTGCAACTGCAAGGTACAGCAATCCTGATTCCTATACCTTTGTTATCAGCAAAAGAAGTCTATTCATATTCTTTAATAGTTGTTGATTAGCTAGAAAAAAAGTGAGATGAGTTCTATGGTGATTTTGATGAACTACGTATTTATTCGGGTACTCTGTCGTAAGCCAATCAAGAATTTAGGGTTTGTTCACCAGAGGTTTTATAAAAGTGGCTTGGTTTGCAGCTTTTGAACACTTGGAACGGGAGGAACACGATCTTGGTAGATCAGTTTTAACTGGAAGGTTTGCTCTGAGATAAAGTTCTCTTCTTTTCCTCGGTTTTAGCTTTAGTATCCTGTGCTCCATACATAATACTAATGGAAATGCAGGACTGAAATAATTTTGTCCTTCATAGATCTCTACTTCTCTACTACGAGGTAAAAAATTATAATCTCCTTAGACATATTCTTCTATTTAATAACTAAAACTCATATAATTCTCATCATCTTGAGAACCGGTGAAAGATGTTATCCAGCTTTCTTTTGCCAAATATTTTATAGAAACAAGAAGTCTCTACGATAGGTTATAGGGGACACTGAAAATTACCCCAGCAGTTGGAACCTGCAGATTAGTTCCTCGTGGTTGAAATCAGTCAACTTCCTTGCAAGTTAAAACCAGTAAATTACCTACCCCCACCCCCACCCCAAAACCCTCTTCAACTTATTGTAAAATAGTTGATTTGCCTGTCTTGAATGACAGTAGTACCTTTGACATTAAAAGTAGTACCATGAAATTACAAGATTACAAGCATCACACATTTGCCAACTTAAAGAAGTGATCTGCAGATTTTTTGAATACTAGATAGTGGTAAGTTTCCAATTGCTAACCATTTCTGAAGCTGGGATTTTCCCGAATTTAAGCATATTTTGAAAAGACAGACGACGATGATATTATAACAAGAACAAAAAACCCATTTCATTACCTGCTCTTCTTCCTCAATTGCCCCACTTAATTCTGCTCCACGTAACATCAATTTTAGTTCATCTTCAGTAACATATGGTTCACTAACACATCAAATGGACAAGGTCAAGCACAAGCACAAAGTAGCCAGAGAAATATGAGAAACCAAGAAGACTGAAGTCAGAATCCAGAAGCAAATGGTAAAGATGACGCTAAGTTGATGGGGTAACAAGATTATACTTAGGAATTGAGTATAATTATAATTATACCTCCTCTTGATATGATTGACATAAGGAAATTGACATTATTGTATAACTTCATACGACAGTATTTTTACTTATTTAAAGGTCTGTCATTAATAATACTTGCAGCTTTGCTTACTCACAAAAACTAGTATTGTCATTATTCTTGTAAAAATTTCAAGGCAGTTAAGATCTGGTTCTACGATGGCTTTGAAGCATCATCTACTGCACCCTAACCATTCTTATAATATTGCTTATGTATCTTACAAGAATAAGAATGCCAATTGTTGCATGAACATTTTTCTCCAATTCCACCAGATTAGTAAGAATTACATGCTACATCTCACACCCTATATCCAGTACTCTTTATGTTTTCAATGTGCATGTTCAGACTTATCTCATTAGGAATGGAGAAAACTTGCCTATCTTTTCAGTTCATATCTCAAATTTAAAATTTCATTTAGATAATCTTTAAATTAATTGGATTGAACAAGAAACTTAGCAATAGAAAATCTAATAAAGGACATAATACCAAGTGTGCAATGAACTGGAAAAATCATTTATGATAGACCATACCTTCTTCCTTTCAAACCAAGCAGTTTTAGCATTCCCATTGACAGATATGTTACAACTCTTCCAACAGGATACAGTACTAGGGAAAGCCACGCCACTGGCCTAACCTACAGGCGTCAAAAATGACAATTCATCAAATGTATAAAAAAACATACTTTGCACTAGACTTGTGTTTATCTTATCTTCCTTATTTTTCATTTATTTATTTATTTTTCTAGTGGTGCAGGGCGTAGAGTATTAGATAAATAAATATCTGCAATTTGATCAGAAACTTTTTCTAACTTTAAAGAGCAAGCTCTAAACTTACCACAAACCTAGCAACCTCAGTGGCATTGTGAACAGCAACACTCTTTGGAGTAATTTCAGTGAGCAGCAAAATGGTAACCTGGTATCGTTTATGGAATAAATTTCTCTTTCAACAACCACTTATAGAAAAAGAAAATGAAGAAATATACTTCTGCTTGATGAGGCAGGACCAAGAATCACCTTAAAACACATTCTATACTGGAACCACAAGTTCGAGATAATAATAATAATTTTTTTTTTTTTTTTTTTTTTTAAAGTACCTTCATAAAAGGAAGACATTGTAGATATATACTTCTAAAGGTTAATTCATGCATCACATGCCTCAATAACGGCATCAAGAGAAAGAAGAATAGAGCCAAGAATAATTCCAACATACATTTCTGTTCTGAAAACAACACTCTTTTAACATTCGAACTTAACATATTCAAGTAAGCATATCAGAAAATTGGATGAGAGGCTCAATAAATTTTCCAGTGTTATTTCAAAATTTAAGAAGAATTAACATGTCCATATGTTTATGTACCATATCCCAGCTAGAGTTACCTTTCTAAAGAAAACAATAAGGAACTCATTTAAATGCCAAACACATAACTGGTTTTTTAAGTTTGGGCTAGGAACCACTAAAATGCAACTCATCTAATTCACAGTCATGAATATTTAAAGAAAGAAATTCTAGACGTACCGTCATGACTCCAGTTGCTGCACTCACACCAGCTTCACCAAATATTGCTGTCGCGGCTTCGGTGACTAGTGCTGTAGCACCAATGTTCACCACTCTGAAAAATAAGCACAATAAGAAAACATGTTCATAATTAAAATAAGTAAGCGATGTCTGCTAAATGAAACAAAATGAGCAGTACGTGGTGCCAATAAGTATAGTAGTCAGAAATCGAGTGACATCATTGCGTAGCATTTTGAAAACACCATTCTCAGACTCTTTTTCAGCCAACTCCCGTACCTGAGATTCATTACAATATCAGGATCTAATCAATCACAATATCCACCAGTCTTGTTTCTAGAAGAAACGTTCAAAAATAGACTGGAGAACAAATATTTGAATTCCCATGAAATTGCAGCGTAGAATAAATTAAAAATAGGCCCAAAACCAAAATAGCACCAGTTAAATCCATTTTTAAGAAAGTAAAATTCAGTATGAGATAAAGTGCCAGTCATGCACCTATGGACTTTATAATATCCAAGAATGATGGATGTTTTTTTATTGGAAGACAATAATGAAATGCTATGATATTGAGACTCCAGACAATATCTCATGATTGTTGAAGTTTCTGCAACAAAGACACTACATAGAACTAGCCATTTAAATAGAAACCATTATGAAATCTAACAATTGGCTGGCTTGTACCATAGTGCACAAGAATGCATTCTATACTAAGCCATTTGAAGTTCCATATGATGAAATGGTAGTTCTCTTGAAGATGAACCAAGACAGTGGACAGCAGTACGTTACTTACATGACTTCATATCCGAGAAAAGTAAAATGCAAATAGAAAAATTGTTCTGCGAACTATATCTACATCACCAGCACGTCTAATGGAGCGTAGCATTCCCAGTTACTTCAGGACTGTATAACTGATCTATATATCTTACTTTGAACAATGCAGATTTCTATCAAAAGGCATCGAGATTACCAATAAGCATATAGTGCAAGAAACATGCCCATTACATACCTTTAAACCTCTTTACACTCTAACATGAAAGTGGTACCAAAATCATGGAAATGAGCATAACTGCAGCCAGCATAATATCACATTATACTAATCAATGCAACTCTAATGCATGAAAAATATTAAATTAGCTGTATTCTCCGCGATGCAGCTCATGTAACATCAAAGATGTAAAATTTACCTGAAATTTTAGATAACAGTTATTCGTTATTATAGTTCACCCATACCTTCCAAGGCCAGAGTGTAGTGATTGAGGTCTCGGCCATGGAGAAAAATGCCGAGAGTCCCAAGAGCGCAGCAAGTACCAATCCCTGCTCTTTAAAAACCATCAGCACTTGCAGAACCTTAGGCCCGGAGCTCCTCAGCGCTACCAAACTCTGCTGCCAAACCCCGTACCCCACATTCAAAGCACCCTCTATTGCTAACACTCTCCGGCAACCCAATATCCCGACCACTCCAATTGCCGTAGCTGCAATCACAAACACCCTCCTCACCAAAACCTCCCAAAAATTAACTGCGTTCTCTGCATTATTATCACTCCCACAACATCTATATTTTGCTTCCAGTATAGGTAAGGGAGTTGCTGAGTTGTGACTGAAAGTCGAGTTGAAAAACAAAGTTCTCGACTTGTAGAACGAAGTACAACTGATGCTGCATCGCAGTGTTTTGGACGGAAACTTTGGGGATAATTTCAATTGGGGGTTACAGAGAGTTAGAAATGAGGGATTTGAATTAGTGATGGAGAATCGATTAAAGAATGAGGTTCCTGCAGTGCTTGCTGCATCCATAGAATTGTTTATGTAAAAACGCGAATAAATACCAAAAAAAATACAAAAATGTTAAATTTCTCGACTTATAATCTAGGGTTCTTGCGAAGTTTGAAGAGATGAAATTGAGTAGATGAGAATCTCATTGTCTGTACTTGTCCGAGAGCTCTGCTGTAGATTTCCCCTTTTCTTCTTTGCTTCAAGCCAAAACCTCATTGACAAGTTGCAGACATGCGAAATTACAGATTCAACCTCCGTAATGGGCCACCAATCCCCTAAATTATGGGCCTGAATTGGAGCTGTAAAGAACGGGTCGTGATTAAAATATTTTAGCCCAAATAAGGAAAAAAAATGTTGAGGAGCTAGAAATGACTACATGCCGATTCAGTGTGGGCTTGCGGGCTGGGTTCGTCCTGCTTGATCCATAGGCGGTTCGAGCTCGTATGAGACAAGTTTACCTCAATTTTGTTTCTCGAGCTTGGCTCATTTTTGGACTTATTTTATTAACTTCTTTAAATAAAAACAAGTCGGCTCAAGGACGTTTGGTCAATGAGCCAAAGGACCGAGCCAACCTAGTTTGCGGACTCGAGTAGTGTTTGGGTGTTCAAGGATCAAACCGACTCGACTCGACCCTTTATCACCTCACGAAGAGCTCTTGAAATATAAACAAATTTAAGTAGACTTAATAGTCAAAGAAGTTTGTGTTCAAATTTCAAATTGGTCCGTAAAGTATTTTCTAAAGTTAATTATGTTACACTGTTGGTCCTTAAAGTATTTTTTGACTCATTCGATCACTAAAGTTAATTAACTCTAACGCCAAACTGAATTCATTGACTTCTTCTACTTTTTGATGATTTCTGTTTTTACTGAAAATCATTGATTTATGCTCACATGAATTAAGATTTTAGTAAGTAAAATCACTAATGAAGCCTTTTACATTTGTTTGTTTTCGAAGGAAGATTATTGTGGAAGAAAATTAACTTTCCTACCTATAAACTAACAAAAATTTGTGAAAAACAAGACAAAATTGACAAGCTCAACACGTTCAAATTTCTTTCGATAGATAGCGTACACAATAATATATGCTTGATTATAAAATATATGTGTTTAACATATTCTATTTAGGTCTACTGATCACCAACTATACTTGTGAATTGTATGATCATTCAAGGCTAGAAGCAAGTCTAGCAGTATGGAGACATCGTCGTCATCATCATGCTGTTATTGTTGCAGATTTTCATCATCATAATGATCATTATAGTTAAGAGATATCTTGTAGTCTATTTTCTGCAAGATTTTCATAACTAGAACCGGATCTCATGCTGTACTCTGCTACAAGCTTTGCAAAAGAAGATGATTTGTCCTTCAACAGCTTTTTCGGAATATCATATTCTTTAACAAGTCCTGCACCAGACGACGAAATGTTTACATTCCAAGTAGCACAACAGAGAGACTAACAATTTGTGGCACTATAATAAGGTCATATATACCGTGATCTAATAATAAAACCATGTCACTGTCAAGCACAGATGTTATCCTATGTGCAATTGTTACAACTGTTGAGTCGTAAAAGTGTTGCTTGAGAGTTTGTTGAATCAGATTATCTGTTGCTGTGTCGACTGATGCAGTGGCCTCGTCAAGCACGAGAATCTTGCTTTTCTTTAGTAGGACGCGTCCAAGACAAACTAGCTGCCTTTGACCAACACTCCAATTCTCTCCATTCTCAGACACTGCAGTTTATTAGAAAACCAAGAAATAAGAAGTCGAGATCAGAAAATTTTGGAATGTATAAATCGGTGGAAGAGGCAAAACCTGAAGAATCAAGCTTGCCTGCCTTCTTGCGAACCTCGTCTCCAAGCTGGCACTTATCTAGAGCCTAAGACGAAGAAGAAATTACATCAGCTCATCTGAGTAATGCAAAATTCAATCTAGAGACAAA